TACATTGTCTTTTAAGATTTTGAATAGCTCAGCTGGAATACTGTCACCTCCACTAGCTTTGTTGTTGCTCAGACTTCCTAAGGTCCATTTGACTTCACATTCCAGGATGTCTGGCTCGAGGTCAGTGACCACCCCATCGTGGCTATCAGGGACGTTAAGCTCTTTCCAGTATAGTTCCTCTGTGTAATCTTGCCACCTCTTCTTAATCTCTTCTGCCTCTGTTAGGTCCCTGCCATTTTGGTCCTTTATGATGCCCATCTTTGCATGAAATGTTCCCTTCATATCTCCAATTTTCTTGAAGAGATCTCTGGTCCTCCCTATTCTGTTGTTTCTTCTATTTCCTTGCACTGTTCATTTAAGAAGGCATTCTTATCTTTTCCAGCTATTCTCTGGAATTCTGCATTCAATTGGATTATCTTTTGCTTTCTCCCTTGCCTTTCGCTTCCCTTCTTTCCTCAGCTATTTCTAAAGCTTCCTCAGACAGCTATTTTGCTTTCTTGCATTTCTTTTTCTTTGGGATGGTTTTAGTTGCTACCTCTTGTACAGTGTTGTGAACCTCCACCCATAGTACACCAGGCACTCTTTCTATCAGATCTAATTCCTTTAATCTATTTGTCACCTCTACTGTATATTCATCAGGGATATGATTTAGGTCATACCTGAATGGCCTAGTGCTTTTCCCTACTTTCTTCAATTTAAGCCTAAGTTTCGCAACAAGAAGCTCATGATCGGAGCCCCAGTCAGATCTTGGTCTAGTTTTTGCTGACTGTATAGAGCTTCTCCGTCTTTGGCTGCACAGCACATAGTCAATCTGATTTCTGTGTTGACCGTCTGGTGATGTCCATGTGTAGAGTCGTCTCTTGGGTTGTTGGAAAAGAGTGTTTGCTATGACCATTGTATTCTCCTGACAAAATTCTACCAGCCTGTGCTCTGCTTCATTTTGTACTCCAAGGCAAAACTGGCCTGTTATTCCAGTTATCTTTTGGCTTCTTACTTTACCATTCCAATTCCTCATGATGATAAGGACATCATTTTTGGTGTTAATTCTAGAAGGTGTTGTAGGTCCTCATAAAACTGGTCAACGTCAGCCTCTTCAGCACCAGTGGTTGGGGCATAGACTTGGACTACAGTGATATTGAATGGCTTGCCTTGGATTCGAACTGAGATCATTCTGTCATTTTGAAGATTGTATCCCAGTACTGCTTTTCCTACTCTTTTACTGACTATGAAGGCTACTCCATTTCTTCAGAGGGATTCTTGCCCGCAATAGTATACCTGATGGTCATCTGAATTAAATTCACCCATTCCTGTCCATTTTAGTTCACTGATTCCTAAGATGTCGATGTTCAGTCTTGTCATCTCTTGTTTGACCACATCCAGCTTGCCTTGATTCATGGATCTTACATTCCAGGTTCCTATGGAGTATAGATCTTTGCAGCATTGGACTCTCCTTTCACCACCAGATACATCAGCAACTGAGTGTCCTTTCGGCTTTGACCCAGTCGCTTCATTCTTTCTGGCGCTACTAGTACTAGCCCTCTGCTCTTCTCCAGTAGCATACTGAACACCTTCCGACCTGAGGGGCTCATCTTCTGGCATCTTATCTTTTTGCCTTTTGGTACTGTCCATGGGGTTTTCATGGCAAAGATACTGGAGTGGGTTATCACCTTCTCCAGTGGATCACCTTTTGTCAGAGTTCTCTGCTATGACCTGTCCGTCTTGGGTGGGCCTGCATGGCATAGCTCATAGCTTCATTGAGCTATGCAAGCCCCTTCGCCACGACAAGGCAGTGATCCATGGAGGAGGCAACCTCCTTTATTGTATCCCAAATCTTGACCACCTTCTCTATCATTAATCTTCCATATTTCTTTGATTTTTTTTCCATTCTGTTATATATTCATATTACAAAATATTTACATTTTCCATCTCTTAACCTCTTTATAATCACATTTAATTTTTAAGGTCCATATTTAGCAAAGCATGATCTGTCACTTTTATCAAACCTATGTCTGAGTTACACACTCTAAAAAAACAAATAGTTAGACACAAATATGAAATCTATCCTTGAGTATGTCTTATGAACCAAAGAATAAAATGCATACCTTTTTCCATCTCCCTTTAACTCTCTTCATGCATCTTTCCAGTCAGTTTTATTCAGTGCTTTTTTTGTAAGAAAAATGTGCCAGAACTCAAAGCACTGGTTTTATTTATCATTTTAGCCAAAATGGTAGTACTATATTTTCTTTCTTCTTTACTAGGTATTGATTTTTCTTTCACTTTATCTATTACCATATTAACATCTCCAGCCATTATTAAAAATCCCTTCCTTATATCTTCCAACTCTTTAAACAATTTTTTGATTGTCAACACTTCTGATTGTCATTTGGTGAATAAATATTAATTAAGGTACAATTTTCTCAATTCTCCTTGTATTATAAAAAAATCTGCGTTTTCATCTTTATTTTATTAATCTTAAACTCAGCTTTCTTGGATATAATAATTGCCACCTCTCCCCCTTGACTTACAACTCCCATATGTTTTCTCACAGATATTCAACCATGATACTTTTAGCTTATTAACCCCTTCCTTTTTTATGTGCTTCTTGCAAGAATACAATATCTGCTTTATCTTTATTTATTATAGCTTCAAACTTATTTATTATCAAACCATCCATCTTCCTTGCAGATATAAGCAGGCTGTTCATCACCAGAACCAAATGTGTCATATAAAATAAAATATACAGTAAAAAACAAACTTCATACTAAAAGAATGGAGAGGCAGCTGGAACAGATTAGCAACCTAAAACTTCTGGGCAAGTACAGTTCTGATGTAGTGTGAAAAAGATCATAATGTTGGCACCTGTCATACATGGGTAGGGTAATCCACCATTGTATGATGCAGGTAAACTAGATGGTGCTGTGACTCTCTTGTGAAAACCTGTTTCAAGGTCAGTGCGAACACAAGCAATTTATCTACAACATTTCTTGCAAACTTGTCAAAGGCACTTTCTGAGGGTTATTTTATGTCAGCCCTTGATCAAGCAGACCCTTTATCCACCAAGAAAAGTTCTGCTGACAACTTTCCAAGGAGACACTGGTCAGAGAGAAAATGCACGGAGGGCACAAAAAGAGAGAGAGAGAGATTTTCGACAAATTCAGGGAGGATAAGCTATTGACAGCTTCTTGTCACTACAGTGATAGATCACCTCTGGCACCAGGGGCATCATGCCTCCCAATGCTGGGAAACACAAGTAGGAGGCTACTGTTGCACTCATTTCCCACTTACAGGCTGCCCACAGACAGCTGGCTTAGCTAGCCCATGATCTGACCCAGTACGGCTCTTTATGTGTCCTTATGTGAAATGCAGCAGCATCACTGCCATCAGCAGCACAAAGATGACTCCATTAATAAGCTCTTATTTTACACCGTATTCGCTACAAGATGTGTGCCACTTTCCTACCAGAAATTTCCCTGCTTGCTTCATTTCCCCTATTTCCCTGTAAACCAGGGAGCCAGCTACTTGTGTGGTGTGCAATGCAGCAGGTCTATAAATTAGCACTTCTAAGTGATCAAGAAGATGGTTAACAAATCTCTCTCTGAGCTAACTGACTCTGGGGCCCTGAAGTGGCTTGTCAGGGAACATATGCAGCCCTAGTCTTTTTCTGTGTTTTTAAACAAAGTCACCAAGTACCACTCTAGTGGCCATGCCTTCACACATGCCTTCACATTTGTGGCTTAATAAGCTTAATAAGCTTAATTGTGCTTTTTTCTAAGAAGCATCATAGTAGGATTAATAGCGCCTTTTAACTCTCATGCTTCCCTTCCTTCTATCATATTTATAAAAAATGCTAACCTTTTCCAAGGCTCCTTGGCTAATTGTTTGTGCAGGGAACATCAAGGTAGCATCTCCAGAGTGAACTCCTGCATCCTCCACATGCTCCGAAACAGCATGGCAAACAACCTGTTCAAAAAAGTCAGGAAAACTGTCTCCTTGTATAATGCTTTGAAATCTTTGATATCCATTTCCAAATTTGCAAAGTATAATAGTGAAGGTGGTTGTTAGCAGATAAGAAGCCAGTATTCCTTGCATATAACTATAGTTAGGTTGTAGAATCTTTAGACTGTATGTTTGGGATTATTTGTTAGCTGTGATATTCTCTGAATATTTGAAAAAAAGAACCCAGAAGATTTCAAGGTCTTTCATTTTTATAAGATCTGCTTTAAGGCTGTCTGTTCAGTTCAGCTGTATAGCACCTATATCTAAAGCTTTACATGGAACATTTGTCAAGTCACTGTAAAATTCCTTCTATAAATCCCAAAAAGAAAAAGCAAAATACTAAGACGTTCATACCTTTCCATTCTTTGCAACAGCATCCATTTCCACCTCACGAGCTCCCTCAATAAATTTTGTTAGTACAACGGGATGTTCCTGTTACCATAACAAGATAGGGAAAAAATATACATTTTTGTAAATATATATATGGCACTATGTATTTGTTGAAAGTTCCATTTCCAGAAATACTTGGGTGGAAAGAATGGTTTTGGTTTATTTTTCAGTTGTTGTGATAGAATTCTTCCCAGCAAGTTTTTAGACCTCATGTTGCAGAGTTCTGAAAATGAACAGAATAGTGTCACAGAAATGCCAAAATTGAGGATAGTATTAAGGAATGCTTCCATGCATATGCTTCCATGTTCATCACCAGAACCAAAATGTGTCATATAAAATAAAATATACAGTAAAAAACAAACTTCATACTAAAAGAATGGAGAGGCAGCTGGAACAGATTAGCAACCTAAAACTTCTGGGCAAGTACAGTTCTGATGTAGTGTGAAAAAGATCATAATGTTGGCACCTGTCATACATGGGTAGGGTAATCCACCATTGTATGATGCAGGTAAACTAGATGGTGCTGTGACTCTCTTGTGAAAACCTGTTTCAAGGTCAGTGCGAACACAAGCAATTTATCTACAACATTTCTTGCAAACTTGTCAAAGGCACTTTCTGAGGGTTATTTTATGTCAGCCCTTGATCAAGCAGACCCTTTATCCACCAAGAAAAGTTCTGCTGACAACTTTCCAAGGAGACACTGGTCAGAGAGAAAATGCACGGAGGGCACAAAAAGAGAGAGAGAGAGATTTTCGACAAATTCAGGGAGGATAAGCTATTGACAGCTTCTTGTCACTACAGTGATAGATCACCTCTGGCACCAGGGGCATCATGCCTCCCAATGCTGGGAAACACAAGTAGGAGGCTACTGTTGCACTCATTTCCCACTTACAGGCTGCCCACAGACAGCTGGCTTAGCTAGCCCATGATCTGACCCAGTACGGCTCTTTATGTGTCCTTATGTGAAATGCAGCAGCATCACTGCCATCAGCAGCACAAAGATGACTCCATTAATAAGCTCTTATTTTACACCGTATTCGCTACAAGATGTGTGCCACTTTCCTACCAGAAATTTCCCTGCTTGCTTCATTTCCCCTATTTCCCTGTAAACCAGGGAGCCAGCTACTTGTGTGGTGTGCAATGCAGCAGGTCTATAAATTAGCACTTCTAAGTGATCAAGAAGATGGTTAACAAATCTCTCTCTGAGCTAACTGACTCTGGGGCCCTGAAGTGGCTTGTCAGGGAACATATGCAGCCCTAGTCTTTTTCTGTGTTTTTAAACAAAGGAGCGGCCCTTTGAAGATGATTACATCATGCAAAGCTTCTGCAGAGTCCAATGAGTGAGGATACAGGAAAGCACAATCAATGCCTTGAGTAGAGATTCCCTAAGATAAGGCAATCACACAATAAAAGCCTTAATTTAGAAGGTCTCAGTCCCACTAATTCCAAAGGAATGCAGGGCCATAGGCATATACCATGGATGTCAAAAGAAACATTCCATGCATTGAATGTCATGCTTCCCGGTGTGGTCATCCATTATATTTTCACATCTGCACATTTTTTAATGCCACTATCATTCTCATGGTCCATGAAACACAGGAATTACAGTGGTACCTTGGCTCACAAACTTAATCTGTTCCAGGACTCTGATCGTGTGCCAAATTGGTCATGAGACAAGTCAAATTTCCCCATAAGGTTCAATGTAAATAAGGTTAATCCATTCTGTAACCATTTTTTAAATCAGAAAATGTGAAGCAAAGTGACAACAACAAAGATCGCGGCCATTTCCCCCATGCCCACACCCTGAGCACAAGTTGTTTGTGGGGGGGGGTGGGATGGCCGAGATTGTGCCCATCTTTCCTGCAGGAGTGTGCCCATGGTCTTCCCTGCACAAACGCAACTGCAATCGCGGCCATCTCCCCACTTGGGAGGGGTAGTGGGGAGATGGCTGCGATCTTGGTCACCACCCAATGCAAAGTTCACAACAGAGTTTGTGTCAACATTTTCATGAAATTTTTGTTCGCAAACCGATTTGGTCATGAACCAAGGTGTTACTGAGCCGAAGTACCACTGTATCTGGAAGGAAAGGAGAAGGAAAGCATATGCAAAACTGGGGTCTGTCCCTGCAACCCTCCTGTATCCACAATGGGCTTGAAATGCTCTGTTCTAGGGCTGGGAGAAGACACAAAGCCACATTATGCATCCCTAACTGCCCCCATGGATGTTTCTAAATTCTCCCTGTCTAAACATCCTCCTACACTTTGGCCTTTAAAATTAATAGGTCTTGTTTACAGCACCTCAAAGATGCATTAGCCATCTGCTATTCTCCCATTCTTTTAATTTCCAGTCACTGTATTGACCAGTGCAGCTTTCAATGCATTTTAAGAAGATCCAAACCATCAGAATATGCACATATTTGTGCACACTGGTGGAATACATGAATCTATGGGAATATAGGAACAAGGATTCTTCCCTTAATGCATACCAGGGTCATTGTGAAAATGTTGTAACCTAGGTGGAATGAAAGAAGAGGATGCAAAATCAATATATAAAATGTGCATGTGAGAATGCTGGAATTCATTGTAGAAATTCCCTACCTTAAATCAGGGGGAAAATGAGAAAGAATACGGAGCACAGAAAATCCATCCACTCAACAGAAGAGAAGGTAAGAGAAAAGATTGTATCACTGGGATGGAGGAATCATAGTTTTTGATGCTTTCCTCCTTCGCCATGTGAAAAATGTCCTTAAAGTACAATCTTTAAGCAAGTTTGCACCCAGCAGGTTTTTCCTCCCTTAAACAAAAGTAGAAAAGTCTATACCCTGCTCTAATATGGTCCATTTTATTACCTCGAAGCTCCATCACCCCTCATCTGAGCCATGTGCAGATGAGACCTCTAGCAGTGCCACATGGAAGGATGGTGCCTGCAGCAGAAAATCTGACTATGCCCTGCTCCTCTCTCACCTACCATACCTACCGTAAACTTCTTCTCAGCATTGCTCCTTTTAGTAACCTGATACATCCCATGATCTTCACTCCACTATTTTCCACCATCCACATTTTCCTGTTCCACCAGGAGACTACCCTTTCTCCTTCACTGCTCAATAGAACTGCCTCCCAAAACAGATGAATGCCACCTCTCCTACTTCCTTCAGATCCTTCCTCAAAACCTAGCTTCTCTATGAAACCCTTGGACAACAGCCTGGTTCCCATAAGCTACTGAAATGTAACCTGAAATGAAAGGCAGCAATATGTAACTGAATCAATGATCAACCTCATATTGTGTTTCTGTTTACCCCTGACCACCCTTCCTCTATTTTTCCCCACTTGTGTCAGTTTTAGGTTGAGAACAGGGACCTGCCCGCTTGTTCTGGGTGCAGCACTAACAGTCAAGGGACTGTTTCAACAAGTGGGTAGGAAATCCATGTAACAAAGCATGGAGTTGACCAGGAAGCAGCCTGGCTACCCAGGTAATTGGCAATTGGAACAGTGCCTCCCTCAGGGAATCTATCTTCTCACCAACACTGTCGCCAGCCCCTGTTGCCCACATCTTTTTCTTCAGCATTGCTACACTTTGCATGCTTGACAGGCAGACAGCCAGCACACAAGTATGCCTGTGAGCATTTACATCTGAAGCTCTGCTTTTCACTATCATAATTGTCTGGGCCAGAGTGAGAGGATGATGAAAAAGCAGGCTGCAATGGCAAAGAGAATAAGAACAACTGTCAGTAGGCCTTGCCAGAGTGTGGATCCTTGGAAGGTCTCACCATGCCCATCTTTACTGCCAACCTTGAATCCAGTTGGAAAGCAGGGATGGAACCCTCATGGTCCAGGAAGTCAGGTATGGCATGCGGAGTCAATAAGTCTTAGCAGTATTTCTGCTTCTTAATGCCCAATCACTGTGTGACACTAAGCAAATCACAGAGCACCAACTTTTCTAAAAAGCACAGAACTCCCAGCTGGAACCAGATGAGCAAAAGTGATTGGTACGTTGGATGCTGAGCTCTTGAAAATCTAGTCTAAGCGGCTTAATAGCAGTGACTGGATGACTCACTTTTGAAAATTGGGAGTTCTAAGAACACGGAAATTCAGCCTTGAAAATGGCCAAGTCTCCTAGTCTTTCATCTGATCCTCATTTTTTCCAAATGGAAAAATAAACTCTGAATGTGCAGGGATGGAGAGCAGGTTTTAATCCTCTGCTAAATGATGTCCCCAATACCAGTTTTTTAATGGTCTGGCATAGAAATGTTGGATACTTATTCAGTTGGATGGGAAAAAGTAAATCACTGTTCTTAGACACCTCTTTGAAAAGAGGCAAAGTCTTACCCATTGTCAAGGACAAGAGGCAGGTTTCTTTCCCAAGAATCATGGTGCATTTTCTGCCATAGAAGTGAACTTTATCCATAAAATATAGGAGGGTGCCTCCATACCCAGGGCAAAACTGTCCCATTCACTGACCCTGTGTGAGGAACCAGCTCTGAAGCAATGCTGCTGCTATGAGGAGAGTATTAAGGAGTGGAGGCCTTGCTAAATTTTTCCTCATGTTCTAGTCACTAAGAAGAATGGGTATTTACCCTATCCAGGTAAAAGAGGGGTGAAAAACTTTTGGGGCACCAGGGGCCCTTTCAACCCCATTGGAACCCCCCCCAGCAACCACAGTGCTATCACCATACCTGCAACTTGAGTCCATACACCCAACCACAGTCATGCATGTGCAAACACACATACATTTATAAAAACCCAAGTCTTATGCACACACACAGCCTTCAACCCAACAACTCAGAACAAGATTGCTCAGAGAAAGGCAATTTTAAAATGTCTTCCTCTCCCTGAGGATCATGATCCAAATTCCTGGGTGAAGGGCAGAGAGCAACATTAAAGCCTGTATGCCCTCGTCTCAGTGCTCCTCTTCTTATCACTGGGAGGAGAAGCTTTACTCTCACTCATTGATACACAAACCAAGAACTTTCCTTCATGTAATTTCAAAGCATTGTTTGAAAGAAACCAAAATAGGGCTCTTTAATCTTCCATTCCTTAGTCCCTTTCTGCAGCTTCTTCATATATTTCACATCATCAACAGAAGCTACAGAAGCAACTTAGCAGAACATACAATTGTTCACAACTGTATGTAACTATTTCTCAGGATCCATTCCCTATGTGCTCTTTCTTTTCCTTAAATATGACTTGACAGACCAGACTTCTCTATTTATATAAAATGCAAAGTAAAACCAACTAGCAGCCTTTGTCCTTATTTGCATGGAAAATTTTTGATGTTTATAATTTATACTGTAAAAATTAATAGGTTGATGATGATGGCATATAAATGCCATTTTAAATTAAATGAGTCTCTGCCCTTTGGCCAAAAAAAAGCAAGGAACACAAGCTGAGGAGCTGAGGAGTTAAATATGTATTCCTTTTCATTTAAGGACTAGCAGGAACAAGGAACTTTTTAAAACAACAGAGCAAGGTAACATTATTAAGTGGGGTACTAAGGGCACATTAATTGGAAAGAAAAACAAAAAAGGGTCAATGCTCTCAAATGTTTCTTCATTTGTACTTCAGTGCAAATCAACTCAGTTAATTAAGTAGGAAAAGTCTGAGATGGAGCATTTATTCCAGGCATAGCAGCAGTGATCAAGCTGATAAGTACACATAAAGACATTTTTATCACCATCATCATCAAACAAGAACTACTACTTCTAGCCAAAACTGCACTTTCTATGCTGCAGATGAAGGCATCTGCGTGCTTGGGGTAACACTGAGGTTTGCTTAACTCTAACCCTAACTCTTTTCTAAAACTCTAAGGGGGGGGGGGGACCTAAAAAAGCAAAAAGCAAAACAAAATGAACAAAGCATGATCACTCTTCAGATTGTACAGCATTCTAACCATCTGACAGGAGGTGAGGAAATTGTAAACAGGAAGGAAGAGAAAATAAAATGGAGCTTTGGAAGAAAGCATTGCTGAACAGGAGCATTCCACAATGCAATGTTTTGATCTGAATCCCACTGGCTCTCTTCTCTTAGGCCTGCAGAATCCTCATTCATGCTTGGGTCCTGGTTTAACAAAGTGGATACACCTGAACCCACAGGGTTTTAAATTGTACCCATTCTGTTTATACTTCTTGATTATGAATGCATAATCAGTGCTTCCTCAGTGCTTAGGGTAGATGCCAAAGAAGGGAAAACCACATAGACAGCTCTCAACTTCCAACTTAGGCGCCAGTTTAAGCTCATTCTGCTTAATTAAATGTGCTTCCAGGTCAGGCTCCATTATTCCATTGCTCTGCCTTATTCAGGGATTCCAGCCAACATCATCTTCTACTCATAGCCCTTATTTCCCACCTGCCTCTTCCATCCTTTTTATTAACACAGAAAATCCATCAAGAAAGAAAAGGTGGAGTAGTTGCACAATGCCCTCTCCATCTGGATTCTGGGAGTCAGAGCAGCTTTGTAAATAGGATTAAAAGATGGTTTCAGTTAAAAAAAATTAGGAGCATGCAAGACCTTGGGCTAGTCCTTAGTTGCCATGCCTTGGTATTCCTCAGATTTTTAAAAAAATGGGACTAATATCCTATAAATAGTATTATGTTACTGAGAGAGAGAGAGAGAGAGAGATACTTGTATGACCCGCAACTTGCCTCAGTGCAGGTTTTTATCAGTTGACACCATCCACTTCCATGCACTTTTAGTTCCCACTTAGACATGGTACCTCTTTTTTTCATTCTTGCTGGAGAAAGGGCTATGGACTTGAGTGCACCTACAGACTCTTCTTGGTAGTGCAGTTATAGAGACTGTCATGGCGAGCTCTGTATTTCAAAATGTCCCACTATACAACTATTAAGAATGTAAAGGGAGGTAAAACAGCTTAAAAGAAACATGGAATTTCATGTCACTCCAAATAAGGAACAGCTAAGAGGTGCCTGCTTCCTGTGAAGTAAACTATCAGGATAGGATATAACGATAGTAAATGCAAAACATGGCACTACAGAGATGGATGAACAAAATTAGTTGTATTCAAATAACCCAATTTCCCCAGACCAACAAACCTCAGATTAGTAGGATAAAAATTAGGACATGTTAAATGGAAGATTTAATTTGAAGTGAAGAAAAGCATGGTATGATACCTGAAAAGCTCTGGTTGCTTCTGCTAAGAACTTCTTCATCTCTTTTTCTGTATGTACTACATTCATTGCTGAGCCACTGTAAGGAAAGAAAAAAAGGAAAGACTCTTAGGTTAAAGAGGCTGTCATAGCAGAGTTTTCATGCTCACCATCTTTCTCCCATCCAAATCACTGCTGCTATTCTTTTATAAGTTGAAAGGGCAAAGGGATTGCTCACCAAAGAGAATCAGTACTATACTTAACCCTAACAGGTTGCGTGCCCCCAAAAAACAGAAAAAAGAGCTATTTCCTAAAGAAAACAAGTTTTGGTTTTGCAGTAAATGTTTCCCAAGGTCTTCTCTTATTCAGTCTTTTGAAATGGTTTCAAACACATCTTGGTGTTGTTGGAAATAGTTATTTGTAAAAGGTTTCAAAGGGGCAATGAGTTTTCAGCTCAGTTTACCATGAAGTGTATAAGGAATTTGTTTCTGCTTAAGCCCAGAAGTTGCCCCATGTGCATGTATTTTGTGGGCAAACTTGCATACCATGATCATTTGCAAACTGCATACTTCAGGAAAATGTGCACTTTCATTCTTTTGTCAATGAAAGTATTTTTTTAATGTGCACCCAAATACATACTTTCCCATTCAAATGTGGGTAGGATTTCACAATCTCAAACAGGAACAAGGCAAGGCCAAGCTTCTGTGAGAAATTCCAAGAACTTTCATTCACTAAAGACTTGCTGAGTTTTCCACCACAGGATGCAGGATCTTCCTTCCACTGATGGAAGCACTCAGTTCATGGAATTCTCAAGGATCCCCTTCTCTGCACCATCATTTGTCTCACTCAGCAGGGTCCCTTGACCCTACAGAGCCTTACTAGGGGTTGGAATGGCTGTCAAGGGGAAGAGAAGGTGGGGAAGTCACCTTCTACCAGTCCCGTTTCATGAAGCTAAATGGGGAACCAACACTCTTAATATGTGCTTTTCCTATATGGCAGGGATGAACAACTTACGATCTTCCAGACATTATGCTCCATCATCCTTTAACATTCATTTTGGGAAGGGCCACAAGTTGCCTGCCCTGATACGGGACAGTTTGCAGAACACCCAACTGGTTCCTTTTTGTAGTCATAAGAACCATGTCAAAGAAAGCTGAGAGCATGTAGGCCTATTACTTATAACATCAAAATACAATGTCAACACACACTCCCTGCTTTATCAGGGTACAATTTGACATATTGCCAACTGTACTTGTATCTTTTCAACTGCAAAGCCTGTAAGATAGTTCTAGTATACTAAATAAGATAGGTTGAGGATTGGTTTATTTTTCCACAAGTCAGGTATGCATTTTCTTTACATAGCTGTTTTGTTATTTTCCTTTGCATAAATAAAGTCACACAGAGAAAGCCTTTGAAAGAAAGAAAAGTCACCCTCATGATAAATTTCCAACATGACTGATGAATAGGATTTGAACACACTATTCATGAATGAGGATGAACTATGTTTCAAAGTGATGCTCCATTCTGAACTACCTCACTAAAACCCATGATCTCTGTAACATATGGTGCATACAGATCACCTGAAGGCAATTCAGCAATACTGTTCATTTTCCCAAACCCCACAGATCTTGACAGGTAGCCAGGGAATAACAGCCTAGTATAGGAATTACAATTCATAATATTTAATAAGAGGGGTGATTGCCCTAAATTCTTGGCCATCGTGAGATATATACCTCATCTGAAAACACTGTTAGTCACACTTAGCATTTATACTGAATAAGAAGTCAAAGTGCTTCTTCACAGATACTGTTTTAGTAATACTTCAAAACAATTGAACAATTAAACAATTCTTTGGCCAGGGCGACTTATTTTATATTGTTAATTCATTTTATATTTTTAATGTATTATATTTTAATGTTTTGTGAGCCGCCCCGAGGCTTTGGTGAATGGGGCAGCATAGAAATTTTCTAAATAAATACATTAATAAAAACAAGTTAATATTATTACCCTTATACAGTGACCCAGAGCCTTGCCTGAGGCCACTAAGTTCATGAGTGAAGTGTGATTGGGACCAGAACTTTCTAGCTCATGGAAGCAGGAAGAGGGATCCGACAATTATGGAAACAAATACAGTAATATATGGTAACAAAATTAGCTGCATAGATAAAAAATAAATATTCAATTCTTACTGCATTTCTTTAAGCAGTCTTTTTCAGGAGAAGAAAAAGCTTCACAGATAAGGTAGCTGGATTTGTTTACCCATTCAATAAAGTAATTTTCAGTTATATATACATTTCTCAGATGTTTACCAAGTTAAGACAGTGTCAACATGCCAAGTAGATTACAGCGCTAGTAACTGACTAAGAGAGTAGATCCAACTGCCTAATATTTGTGAAGCAATTTTTCTCCTTAGAAAAACTACCCCCAAAAAAATATTTTGGAATTACAGCTACAAGTATGTTCTTGTCTACATGACTCATATTGTTTCAGCTTTTCCTTATCTTCCTACTCGTACCATGCAATTCTAACCACCATGGTACATCAGCTCTTATACAGTGCTTATAAGAATGTAGACTAGCTATTTATTTTTATTAGCATTATTGGATATAATCAGGATGAAGCCATTAAGGCAGGTCTCTGGAGAAGTTATTCCATGTGTCAATTACCTTCAAAGGAAGAGTGAAACTGCTTTTGCAAGACGTTCCCCTTTTTCTAAACAATCTTAAGTAGTCCACAGGTCAGATAAAATAATCCTTCCATGTTTGAGAATCCTGTGGATGTTTTAAAAATCTCATTGAAAAGAGGCTTTGATTGAACTGTTTAATGATCACTCACCATTAATTGCATCGTGATGGCCTTTTGCACATAAGCTTATGGCTACACTTCACCAGAAATCTCACCCCACTCCCCCAGCTTATAAATGCTTTCTGCTTCAGTCATTGTCAGGGTTGCATCCCTCAGACTGATAGCTTGCCTCTCTTTTATTATCAGAGGGCTTCGACTCAATTTCCATTTGCACTTGTGAACTGCGCTCAGCAAACTCTATTTCTCTTCCTATCCTCTCATCTGTGAATAAGCACTTCGCTGCATTAAGCTTTGGAGAGGGAGTATTTAGAGCATCCCTGAACATTGATTCAACTCATTTCCAGATCTCTTTGTTTTGTTTTGCCAACCACATCCTGAGAGAAAAGCAGCTGCCATGGCACTTATTTGACATAATACAGCTACAGGTAAAAGAGCATTTTCACACTGAAGCACGTACCTGAAGATATTGTGAACATGATGTAGATCTATCTGTCTTCCTTAGGTAGTGAAAAATGAGGCTGGCAAGATGAGTGCTGTTAGTACTCTCAGGGCCATTTCCAATTTACCATAATGCACATTATTCATTCCACCCACCCCAGCCCACTGAATGAATGAACCAAACACTACAGTAAATGTCAGAACTTGGAGAATGGTGACATTTACTGCAAGACCTAGCAGGAAATGTCAGAAAAGTGGTGCCATGTGCTTTGTTTCTGACAGTTACCTACTTAATTATGAGTCCTCCTGAACACAGGCCATTTCTGAAGAACCTGCACCATCTCTTCTCACTTCCAAAATGGGTGTCCTTAAGCAGCAGGTCCCTTTCACTGGTGACTCCTAAACTATCAAACAGCCCAGCTAGGGAAATTGGCTTGATCTCTTCTCTCTTAAATTTCAGGAAACAAGTTAAGACCTGCTCCTGTATCCTATTTTCAAACATTTGATTTTATGTAAACTCCCCTGGGAATCTTTTAAAATGAATATTTATAAATAAAAAGTTTGGGGTCCTACTGACAAGGAATCAAAAAGGTGCTATAACAAGCAACTAAGCCTGATCACTTGTGAGCACATCTGGGGAATTACCATCCATTCAATCACCAATGGAAAATACTGATGCCATTTTCTGCTGGGGCATCTGGGAGTTGTAGTTTATCCCAAACATGCCTTGCATAATGACATGGGCTACATCCTTCTCAGTTTTGAAAGAAGAGTGTGAAATGGAAGGAAGGGAGAACAAGGGAGCCTTTCCCACGCAAGAGGATGCTGCCATAAATGCAGTTGCTGTCCCTTAGAGAACAGGATGGAGTTTTAGTGTTGGGGTCCAATGTGCAAGGGCTCCTAATTCACTGTTAAGATACTGTAGCATGGTAACCATTCTTTATCAATAAATACTGGAAACAAAGGATGCTTTTTTGGAATCATTAAAGGCATTCAGCTCAATTTTATATTGACGAGTGGGTGTCAGAATGTTATGGCACATATTTTTAGGTGTTTTTGGAATCTTAAGAATTACCAATTAACAGTCAACTTTTACTCAATTTTTGATACTTACTACAACTTGTGTACATTGTACGACTGATCTGTGCTTCTGTCCAGGAGACTATGCGGCCAAAGCCCCTCAACACATTTTTGATGGGATATTTATGTATTTGATTTATTTACAAAGCCTTTTTACATGCAGAAAGGCTGCTCAAGGTAGGTTACAAAGTTTGGAAAAATCAGTTACAAAGATCAGTTACAATAATATAAGAACAGCCCATCCAACAAGGAAATTAAAATTACAGCAGCCATTACCATTCTTCTGCTACAAGTCTATCATATAAAAGTGTTAGTAATAAAAATATAGGATTACGCACATACATGTTTCACAGCTAGCACCAAAGCTTTCAGATATGGATGTGTGATCTCCTGAACTGCTAAATACACATCTGAATGTGCATTATCCACAGAGAAAACTAATTTTACTGCCATTGCATTCCCATGGCCATGACGCTACAAAACCCAATTTTCCGTAAGAAGTCACCCTGTCCTGGTACTGCAGAGAGAGGCTCCTCAAGCTATTTACAGGTTCCAGTTAAATGGTATTGTTTTCTAGCTTGGGACACAAGCCTTACAAGTCCTCAGACTGTCTCAGTATAAGACCTGAAGGCATAGCGAATGATGCCATCGGGGATGCCCAAGCATCACAGCAATGATGGAAAGGCTTTCCTTTCACTGCACTTGCTTGGTGCTGGTTACCCTCCTCAGACAGATAAAAAGCAAGTGAGAAAGAAAGGAAAAGAAACTCAGAGGGGCTTCAAAGGAGCCAGTTTTAGGAGGAGGGGCTGAGAAAGCAATAGACAGAGAAAGAAACAGGATTACAAAGAATGTTCTGAGGTGGCAGGTGGAAAAGAGAGGAAGATGATACGGTGATGGTTACTGGCTCAAATGGCTTTTAGAGGGAGATGAGACTAATTCATGGAGGGCGAGTCTAGCCAATGCTGGGTATAGGAAACTGAACTAGAGGGAATCTTGATCTGATCTGCCAGGGAACTTCTTATGTCCTTATGAGAATCTTAAGACAGAAGGAACTCGAGCAGCCTCTGAACCTGGTGTCTTCCAGATAGTTTGGACTACTCCTCCAACATTCCTGCATTCTGGATTTGAAGATCAAAACCTTTGGAGTGCACCAGGCTGGGGAGGGCTAAACTAAAGGGAAATGAGAACAAGGAGAGATAGCTGGGACCAGTGAACAAGTAGAGCAGGTAGCATTTTGCTGCAAAGGGTACAGAGTAGCAATATTTTGTGATTGTGGCTGGATAGTGCAGAAGTATTCCAACAGTATGTCAAGCCTCTCTGGCCTCAATTTGTGCAATTTCCCTGTTCAGCTTGTGCTGGGGAAAAAGGCTTACCTCAAAACATAGGAAGGTCTTAACAAACAGGGGTAGCCAACCAAGTTTGCAAATTCAACAGCATCTTCCTAAAAAATTGGAAAAGATTGTTTTAACATGCTGAGATACTTCGATTTCTAAAAAGAAAGACTACTTACATTCTCACCATACCATTTACAGGAGCCATCCAATTCTCCTGTATTTTTTCCTATGGATTTTCCAAATGAGGAATGGAACACCTTATTTACCCACATGACAAATCTAGTGATATCACACAACAATTAAGGGGAAAAAATCTCAGCACAAACTCTCAGCCTGAGCAAAAAAAAAAAAAAGTCTGCAGTCAAGCTACGCTTGTTATGTAACCACTCTAGACTCCTCCAGGACACAATGAACAGGTAAATCTGACAGTATTATAATTTTTTGCACTCTTCCTTGATATCCAGCTTAATTTGGATGTACTCAAGACGGCAGAAGCTACAGAAATTCTTGGAAACTTCCAAGATAATCTGTCTCACCAAAGTTGAGGAGGTCCAAGACTAATCCTTTCCATATTTTTTATTTTTCTTAAAACTGAAAACATGCATAGCAGTAGGCTGCATCTGAATAGAAGAAGAGCACAGGAAGAAAGTTTGCTTATCTTCTATGCTTGCATGGTTTATTTTGGGCTATATAATGTCCAGAAGGGAAAGAGTTAACCAGCCTGGTGAGCAGATCCTTCTGCTCACCAGGCAGTCTTTTTCAGTCTGTTCCAGGTTTAGAAAATATATGAGAGAGAGAGAATGGCAGAGCCCTGCCTAATATGTCATTTGAACATTAGGGTTTGGGGGCAAGGTTTCTATACAAGTTATTTATTGTACTGCTAATGCTGTATCTATTTTTGGTTTCATTGCTGCACTGAGATCTGAGCACTACCAAAAGAGCGCTTCCTTGCTTGCTTTTCTGCCTACACACCTCCTAGATGGAGCTGTGCTATAGTGGAACAGCAGAAATGCAAGAGAAGATAAAGTGCTATTTCTGCCACTATAATTTAATTTGTCTTTTCCCATTCAAAAAATTAAAAAAGGAAGGGGAAGGCAAATACTCAGAAAAAGAAGAGAAAAAGAAAAAAGAACTGTCAAACTGGAGGACCATGAATCCCTTAAAAGCCCATAAACAACCATGTGTAAGGAAACAAAAGCACACAATAAATGCTTTTAGTAGTCAAGCAGGCCCATAAAAGGCCAACTTCATAATAAAGTTCTCAGTTTTAAAAAATGCCAAACTTGAATAAAAATGCATATTTTAAAATAAAATACATGCACAGGTTGAGAAGGAATCAGATTAAGATATTAATGTCCATGCAGTTTTTAAAAAGATATAGCAAAGATTCATGCAGAAATATTGATATTATTAGTTATTATATTAAATTTAGACCCTGCCTTTCTTCTTGCAAGGAACCCAATATGGTATACAAGGTTCCCCTCTTTCCATTTTATATAATGAAAAAGAATGAATAAATGCAAAAAGGCCACAGATTTGAAAGATATTAATCTGTGAAAGCCTGTCAAAGGCAAAATAAAGCAAATATACCTCCAGCTGAGTATTTTCACCATTTTTCACATGGGAGCCACAAACATATCTCAACAAAATATTGCCAAAAATATTTCAACGTGAGAGCCACAAAAAATACATTTTAACTATATATTCATGGAAGAATTCTCATCGGCTTCCTACAAAACATTTTTGAAACAAATCAGAGTGGCAAGTTCTTAATGTTTTCTTTTTAAAGAGCTGAGTCCTCAAGGTTGTGGACTGTGGATTGGCCTGTGGGAGGGGAAACTGAGCATATCTAGACCATGTGTCATTCCTTCAGCTGTAATTTAAATAGAGGGAAAGAGGCAAGGCTGGAGGTGAGAGGAACAAGACAATATCACAACTTCTTATCAGCCATTGAGAATGCATGAATGCATTAATTAAAAGCACAATAGGAAAGTTACACTGCAGCTGCTAATTTACTAATCTCTCTTTCCCAAAGGAGTTTCAGGTAAAACAAAAGAGCAACTTTGTTACAAGATGCAAATTGGCTGTTTGCAGTAAAGCTAACATATGTGTTTCTCCTGCTTCTCTTTTTTGCTGTCTGTAAGCTGCAACCTACCCTCCAGGGGCAATGTCAGTTTGCTGAACACTGTGGCTGGAGCTCTGAATCTTTTATGTGGAGGCCGGCCTCTCTGGGGGGGCCCTACCCCACCACCATGCTGTGTGTGCAGACTTGCTGAAATAAAGTTACAGGGTCCCTCCTGAGGAGCTCTGCTGCATCCAGTCCCCCTGGATCGGCTGCCTTTTTGCCCACATGCGTTTCTCTTCAAACTAACCCCTCAACCAAGTCTTTCTTCCTGAGCTGCTGCTGCTTCTTTTTTTTTTTTTTTTTTTTTTTGGTTGAATCAAATGCGTTCCTCTCCCCAACCATAAATTTCTCTTTACAAATAGGGAGAGAGTGTCCTTTAAAGACAGAGTCAGATTTTACAGTATATGCAAATTTGTGCTTTTTTCTCCATGGTCCTCTTGGAGGTATTTCTCCATACCTCCTGCTGCTTCTTCCCTACCACACCAAATCAAAAGAGTGGAAAGACAGGCGAGGGCGGCAGCCAATGGGAGTAAAAGGCTGAGGAGAGCCCTGAGTTATGGCAACAATTCTGGCAAATGAGAGAAGGGGGAGGAAGGTTTTCTCACAGCTGCAATAAGCAAGGCACTGTGACTGAGGCTGGAATTTGACTTCTGCTGGGGCAGCAAGCATGTGGGCAACCAGAGGCAACAACAGAAGGGGTGGTTTCTCCCCAGTCTTCTCAATGTGCCACATGAGGCAGGGAGAAGTAGAGGGCAGCACTGCAGCTGATTAAGGTTGGCCAGCCTCGTGATGAAGAACACTATTTTAGCCTGCAGCAAATGTAAACACAGACTTGAAATCCCACAAGCCTTTAGCTCAGCATCCAACGCCATACCAAACGCCACTGGCTCCACCGACAGAGCCATCTACACCATCAAGGAAAGAACATGTTAACATACTATGCCTATTGAGGCCTAGGAAGTCCATGTGGTACCTCACTGAGGTGATAAACTCACTTCAGACAGTGGATGGGGCATGTGAGAACATTCCTTCATCCCCTTCTACAAAAATTCTCTCCAAATAAAAATTAAGCACTTCAGGGAAAAGCAATCAGGAGCACCTTCCCCACTACTTTTCTGTGTGGAGGGTTGGAAGAAAATACAATCCAGTGAGCATCCCACTTGCATTCTGAAGTGGAACCAGCCCAAACACAAATTTATCATCTTGGTGAGAACTAGAAATATAATGATGCTTTCCTCACTGGGACACTTCGCCTGCGTCTTTGATGAAGAATGACTGCATCCTACCAAATGCAGGCAAAAGAAATAAAATTGTGAATATTGCCTTAAAGTGATTGCTAGGCACAGATTAAATGTACATCTACATACCAAGGAATTAACGGCTTTCCAGGGTGCCTGAGCTACCTGCAGCTCATCAAGAACAGCTGAGAACACAGACCGGTCTTCTGCACGGTCGATTTGCAGCGGGTTGGTACCCTTAATTTTAACTCCACTTCTGTACAGTGGCACAGCCAGGTTATTGGGAATCTGCCCTCCTACAGAAATGATGCAGCCATCACATTCCTAGAAGAAATGAGAAAATTAAATGTCTGCTTAGACATGTAGAAAGGCTGACCAACTCAGTGTAGCTCGATAGTTAACCACATACCCATTAACATGATTGTTGTTAGGCTTAGAAGCAAAGAAAGAGAACCGGTTGGATTCAGAGAAGCACAAACTTGCTTTATCTTTACAATGGAGGTTTCTCTTTCTGGCAGCAGTCTCTTGCACACACATCCCAAAAAGGCCCCTCCAAAAGATTCAGAGTACCTAGAACAGCTCTTTGTGGTGCAGTGATGCCAAGGACTGTAGTTAAACAGTTCTAGCTTCTGAAGGCCTCCACAGTCACATTCCTCTTCCAGTAAATACCAGGTCAATATGATAGAACTCCCTCCTTCTCTTCTACTCACACACCACTGACTACTTTTGACATGGCTAAGCTGGGTAGACAATTTAAAAAGCAGCAGCAGAAAAGGAGTATCTCTTTCCTTAATTATGCCAGGAACCCTGACTCGTTAAATAGCCAGTTTCTGTGATCTAGGAAGGACAGTTGATCTTATTTTCAAAAATGGATGGTTTTACAAGGAGTTCTGCTTAGAAGATTTTCACCTGATTTCTTTGAAAATAAAGAACAGAAGTAGACAGGTGATTATTAACTCAATTACAGTTCATGCTGGCTTGCTCACACAGGAGAAGAAGTCAAGATTTCAACCCTTTTAAGAACAGAGTGACAACAGAAACATATTTTAGGGTGTTTGCACACAGTTAAAAAATCCAGTGATAGCGACCAGCCCTTTCCAGGACAAAGACCTTCAAAGAGTACTGCAAGTCTATCAGAAAAACTTATAAAAGTAACTATGAAAAAGAACACACATACAAACCCCAGATGCCCTTATGTTTATGTTTAGCTTTTGCAAACTATGTTTATGTTTAGTTTTTGCAAACTGGTTAGCGTCAGTGGCATTGTCTTCATGCATAAAATTAAGCATGTGTGTAATTACTTTCACAATCACAGGTTGAAACTAAGCTCATCAAGGACAGGACAATTTGAGCAATAAACAACAGTGAAATAAATTACATCAGCTCATAAATACTGTGCAGCACATTTCTGGAAAATAACTCTACATTTAGTTGACATTTGTTATTGAATAGTTACTAGGAACAGCAACACCATGTGGAATGTAATGCCAAGATCGAAACAAGGAGCTGAAGGGCTCAGCCAAAGGTGTCATAAAGCTAACTTTCAAAATAGTTTGGCTTGTTTTAAAAGGGCCTGATATTGGGTTTGTTTTTGAGACAATTAGATTTTTTAAAAAAATACCTCCCGCTTGTAGATGTCCAAGATCCTCTCCAATGACAACTCCTCAAAATAGAGCCTGTCACACTCATCAAAATCAGTGCTCACTGTCTCTGGATTACAGTTCACCACAACTGTCTTTTTGCAGAGCTGACGCAAAGTGCGGATGCATGAAACAGCACACCAGTCAAACTCCACGCTGCTCCCTGCCAACAAAAGGACACACTCAATGGAGTTTAACATGTACAGTATTGTGCAGAAAGGTCTGAAAATAAAAGTACATAGCAAGAACAGGACAAAGGCTCTAATGTCCACATGTGGATTTTGACATTTGAAATGGTAGCCTGTGCACTCCCACTGAAAAAAAAACACCTGCATATATCTTATTAAAAGGAATGGCTCTTAGCCCTATCTGCTTAGAGTCCTTACCAAACCTATGGGGCTAAAAGCCAGCATAGCCTTCTTACAGATCCACCTGTCTACAGAAGTAAGCATTTGCTCTGTAGAGACTGGGTGAGTGATACTTATGCTAGAAGTAATGCCAAGAAATCAAAGAGGGGTAGCTGTGTTCATTCACACACAAGCCTAAGTCTACCAGTAGCTTCACATTTCCTGCTCCCACCCTGGCGTGTATAAACCCTACTTGGTCAGGATGGATTGTTGTTGCTATTATTTCTTGAACTCCATTGGCTAGCACCACAGTGATGATTGGCATCTTTGTTGATCAGGGAGATAACTCACACAGAATCTGTAGAATTTTCCAGGTTTGGGAATGATTGAAATATTAGCACTGTGCATAGAGGGCAATAGTGTGCCTGTTTCAGAGATATCTTTGTAGACATCCAGGAATCTAGAGGAAGGATTTGGAGACCTTTTTATTTAAACATCATTTTAATTGTTAAAATATATGATCTGGCCAGGGCAACTTCTTCTTCCTTCTCTTTTCTCCTCCTATATTATTTATTTAATTATTTTATACTGATAATTTTAATTTTATATTATTATGTTTGTAACTCAGTGTATTTTTTGTATTTTTGTATTTAATGGTAATTTATTATGTTCTATTGTATTTCAATGTATTTTATTGTGTTGTAAGCCACCCCAAGGCTTCGGCAAGGGGCGGCATAGAAATGTAATAATAATAATATTAATAATAATAATAATAATAATTGATTGGAAAACCATCAGGGCTGGTTTTCCTACAAAGACTGTGAATTCCTTTCCTTTGAGGATTTACAGAGTACACATCAACTGCAACAAAAGATACACAGGCAACACTTTCAAATAAAACATATGTTCCACTCTGTATATGGCCCAAAAGCATTCACCGCCTTGGAATCCCCAACATTATTGGAGGAATTGGCTAGTTTTACAAAGACAAGCAAGCCAACATTATATCTTTACAAAAGACTGATGGCATTCAACCAGCCTGACATCCAGAGACTCAAAGAAAAATGAATGGTATATTCAAACACACCACTGGAAAATAGCTATATCCTCTACACCAGCCTTCCCCAACCTGGTGGACTTCAGAGGCATTTGGGCCACAACTCCCAGAATTCCTGTTCAGCAGGGCCATTGACTGGGAATTCTGGATGTTGCAGTCCAAACGTGTCTGGAAAGCACAAGGCTGGGGAATCCACACAATCCATAGCCTCTGACCTGAAACTGCAACTTATTCAGCAAAAGCTGCTCTTTGGGGCATATCGGATGCTGCAGTGCCTGTTTCTGAAAAAAGAATTACCCTGTAATAAATGTTGTCGATGTGGGATGGCAGAAGCGTCATCAATGCTCTTGATGTGGAAGCGCCCAGTGGTGGCCCCCTTCTGGACAGCTTTTAGACACATCAGCTCTGTCCTAAATAGGTCATTCTTGTTTGAAGTGCCAATGTACTGCTGAATTACATTCCCACATCCTGGAAGCTGTGCTCTGGCCACCACGAGTGGCCTGTATGAGCCCTCATGGTGGCTAAGAGACTCCTACTATGGGGAGAGAAGACATTCATGCCCTCCAATCATGCAATGGACCGCAGACCTCACAACACTGGTGAGGGGCACCCTGAATGAATAAATGATCTTACATTATGTGACTTGATTTGTTGGTCCTGGTGGAGGTAGCACTAGTATTGTTGTATTGTTTAATTATGTTTATTAGTGATGTTTAATTATGTTGTTATTATACTAATTGTTTTTGCTAGTTTAATAAAAATATTTAAAAAACACTGGCATCCTCTGAGCAAACATACCTCCAATGACAACTTTGTCTCAGCACTCATTATGGCATTTGGTCAACCTACCTCAGCCTATATTAGTGATGTGGAACAGGAACAAACAGGAATATTTGTGTGCCTGTGTGTGAGCATATCTGTATACACAGATGTTACCAGTAATACTTTCAAGACCAGTTCAATGCATCTCCGATTGTTACTATATTAACTCCGATTGTGTGGCTGTATGTTTTGTTGTTTTTGTTTTGTTTTCCCCCTTTTTCTGTATATGGGTTTGTGGTTCTCTTGTTTTGTATTTTCAGTGGCTTTTCACTCATGCTTGGTTTTGTTGAAAGATTTATTTTAATGTATAACTTTATTTGATTTTTACAGAGTAGCACCTTCAGGAAAGTAGTTCAGTAGTACTTGGCTCTGTCTGGGAGATGTTTGTATACATTTGGAGAGAATGTTAGCAGGGGTCCTCAAACTTTTTCAACAGGGGGCCAGTTGAAAGGTGGCAGCAGTGTGCACGGACTGGCAAGGTGGTGGCAGGCATGCTCGTGCAGGGAAGGTGGGCGCGATCGTGGCCATCTCCCCCTCAGTGTGATTGCGGCCATCTCGCCCACCCACAAGCACAATGGGGATCAGACCCCCGTCTTCCCTGCACAAGCAGGGCCACGATTGTGGCCATCCCCCACCCCCAGCATGATTGTCCAGGGAAGGTGGATGCAATCGTGGCCATCTCCCCCTGCCAAGCATGACCGTGATTGGACCTATCTTCCCTGCATGAGTGCAACTGCAATTGCAGCCATCTCCCCACTGAGTACGCCTGCACCGGCTCAGAGCTTTTGGACTTGCTCAGAGATCGTTTTCTCCAAGCAAGTCCAAAAGCTCTGAGGTGGGCCAGATAAATCGGCATAGCAGGCACGATCAGGCCCATGGGCTGTAGTTTGAGGACCCATGGTGTACAGCAGAGGTCCTCAAACTTTTTGAATAGGGGGCCAGTTGAAAGGCTGCAGTGACCATCACAGGCCGGTGAGGTGGGGGTGCCTGGGGGCGTGAGCTGGTGAGGTGCTGTTGGGCACGTGTGAGGCAGCACCGGGCGTGTGTGCTGTGGTGGCTCACTCGCTCGAAGATCTCCCAGTGAGTCCAAAACCATCTCCAAGCAAGCAAGCCACCACCACCCCCAACCCGTGCTGTGAAGCAGTGGCGAGCGTGCATATACAGGAGGCAGGCAGCGATTTGTTCACTCGGAGACCATCTCCGAGCGAGCAAGCCTCCACCTCCCCGCCCATGCAGCAAGCACGCGCATGGGTGGCGAACGGCGGTGCAGCCCAGATGGATGGCCATGGCAGGCTGGATCCATCCCACTGACTGTAGTTTGAGGACCCATGGTGTATAGTTTCCTAGGCATAATTAACAGATAATCACTAAGATTTGAAATAATGCTTGTTATTAGCCTTGTTACTCACTTTGTCCATACAAATGTGTAGAGGACATTTACAGCCACCTCTGAAACTCTGCTCCTGGGGTAGAAAGTACAACTGGGTCCACATGCAAACGGTTTTAGACATGTAAAGTTGCATCCAGTGTTAGTTCTACTTGGAATATCTTGTATTCTACTGATACAAGATACCATCCAGAGAGTGTGTTTTACTGTCATTCCAATGCAGTTCAGTTTTCAGTGCAGCAAGCAGGATCCCATTCTACCCTCCAAGACAGACATTTGATGAACACATCAACAAGGTATGAGAACAGGATTAGAACCCTAGAGCAGGACTGAATGGTTTCAAATCCTGATTGACTGGAGCAAACATAACTGAATTTAATGTCAGTGCCCATTTATATCAACATAACACACAACCAAAATTAAGACAAGCCCGTTCACCTACATTGTATTTTACTGTATTTCGGAGTTATACCAGCAGCAGCCCTCCCTGAATCTTTAACCTGTACTATTAAAGGTAAAGGTTTCCCCTTGACATCAAGTCCAGTCATGCCTGACTCTAGGGGGCGGTGCTCATCTCCGTTTTCTAGCCGAGGGAGCCAGCGTTTGTCCGCAGACAGTCTCCATGGTCATGTGGCCAGCATGACTAAACACCAAGTGCACGGAACGCTGTTACCTGCCCACCGAAGTGGTACCTTTTTATCTACTTGCATTTGCATGCTTTCAAACTGCAAGGTTGGCAGGAACTGGGATAGAGCAATGGGAACTCACCCCATTGTGCAGATTTGAACTGGCGACCTTTCAATCAACCAGCCCAGTAGCACAGCGGTTTAAACCACTGCGCCACCTGCAGTCCAAGTTGCTTAAAACCTTCAACTGATAAATAAAATCTTTGGTTCTAAAGCTATGAAACACAATGCTGAGGTATAATACATATGTTGCATGTGTAATTCCAGTGAAGCATGAAACATTACTGCAGGAGAGGGTACAAAACAAAACAAAAGATTTTCAAAAGAAGTTCTCAGCTGGAAAAAGCCAAGGAAACTATCAGTGAGATTTACCTATGTGATACGGTCCACAGCCCAGCACCATCATTCCATGGTCATCAAATTTTACATCATGTTCCTAAAATAGAACACAGTACAAAGAGTCATTGGGAATTCTTCTGAGCAGTAGTACTGTGCCATAGAATAAACCATCTATGCTTCACAAGTTGTTGTTGTTAGTTATGAAGTTGTGTCCAACCCATCATGACCCCATGGACAACATTCTTCCAGGCCTTCCTGTCCTCCACCATCCCCGGAGTCCACTTAAGCTCATGCAAACTGCTTCAGTGACTCCATCTAACCACCTCATCCTCTACCGTTCCTTCTTCTTTTGCCGTCAATTGTTCCCAGCATTAGGCTTTTCTCCAGGGAGTCCTTCCTTCTCATTAGGTGGCCAAAGTATTTGAGTTTCATCTTCAGTATCTGGCCTTCTAAAGAGCAGTCAGGGTTGATCTCCTAATCAGGACTAACTGGTTTGATTGCCTTGCGGTCACAGGTTATGAACTCGGATTGGTGGTTCACAACACAATTAACCACTGAGCTATGGAAGTCTGGACCAAGAGAGCATGCTATACTGAAACTAAAGATTCCCCTATGTGAAGGCAGGTTTAAGAGATTTACTCCTAAGTAAATGTATGTAGGATTGGAGCTTTAATGGTCTGTCTAACTCAGTACTGTTTGCATGAACAATAGGGTTGTTTTTGAGTATTTTCCCCCAAGAGTAAATACAGGATTTTAAGTGAGCGATCCACCTCCAGCCCCCAGATCAAGTAACCTCTACCCTGGATAACTCAGCTGTTTCTCAGGTGAAGCTAGCCCAAGAAAATGCCACATATTACAGGTTAAGCAAGAGAGCCATTCCACCTGGCTTTGATGCAAATGAATTGCTACCCACCATGCAACAATTGCTTCTCTGAGAATCACTATCCACTTTGCTATCTTTGTTTGCAATTGCAATTGCACTACTCCTTAATATGTCATGCCTGCATTTGACAGCTTATCACAGGAAAGCAGAGTCCTCATTTTTCCATGTGCTTTCACTGCTGAATGACCTCATCACCCAACAATTATGTAATTGGTCTTCTAATCCTCCAAAGGTAAATCTTTGGCATTAGGACTCTATCCCCTTTGGTTCATGCCTCATGACTCTATGGCATGCCACAGAACTTTAGTTTTGGTCAGGGGATCAGCTCCATTCCCTAAGCTAGGAATCTATGTTTCATATATTCTACCAATAGCTACTTGAGCCACTTTGCCCCATTTCCCAGAAAGTTCATGCAAGTAATCACCTATTTGCAATTCAATTGTACAAATTGCCAGGGAGTTAGCATTTTCATTATACAATTTATTGTCAGTAAGTGGTGTGAAATGGGATGGGACAGAGCTACCCACTGTGCTCAAGATGTATTGCACTATGCAAATTGGATTTGGAAGAGAGAGGTTAAATTTCACAGGGAAACCTGATCTCCTACACTGCAAAACAGCAAGCAAAACTTACATCAATACGGCTTTCACTGGTAGTCCACAGCAATTGTTAATTTAGGGAACAAAACTGTGGCACTGTGGGTAAATTTTCACTGCTTGTACCTCTACTATGCTTGCTCAAAAGGACTTTGCTGGTCCCACTTATACTTTCACTTTTACAACAACAATAGTAGAAAAACATTTCCACCGGTGCTCTGATGGGATTATGCCTCTGCCAGTTGCTCTAAACCAGAGCTGTCTCTAGATGAATTTGGGTGAATTTGACTTGCAAGGTCAATGGACACTAATGGGAGAAAATATATCATAATACACTGTGGCCCTACTGAAGTAAATGATAGCACTTACCTGGCCATTATAAGTGACATAGAGGTAATTAGTTACAGCAGGGTATTCTCCTGCCAGTGTGTCAATCTGCAGAGGAGAAGAAGAAAGCTTTCATGCTTCACTGTTTCATACTTTCCATTCTGTCCTCCAGACTCACTGCTTTCTCTCTTCTCTTTGCTGAAGTGCTTAAGGGCAACATACCATCAACTGGGTGTTATGATATTCAGGTCAACTCATACTCATATACTAATAATAAATTTATTTCCTGAGTGACAATCCTTATGTAGTCAAAGCAACAATACCAGTCCTCAAGAGAAGGCATGGGCAATGTCTGAGGGCTGTATCCCAGACCCCCACTGTGGCATCTCCAAAAGTGCTGCTGAAATCCAATGATGCAGTGGAGGCAAAGGAGGATGGTTTTCCTTTGAAACAAGGTATATGATTTAAAACAAGGTATCAACCATTTTTGGCTTCTGCTGTGCCACCACCACAATTTCTGTGGGCACAACCAAAGGTCAGGGAGCACTAGGCAGGTTGTGGGCCATGTGCTTCCTACTTCTGTGAACAGGGGCTGATGTCAAAAATTGGACTGGTCATACCCAGGCTCCCTGCCAGAAGAAACAGAGTATCACCTGAAGTAACCACGACACAGCTTCCAGATCATAAGCAGATGTGAAACAGAATGCTTGCCACTGAATCCTCTCCACGTTTGCTTAGAGGTAAGTCGCCCTGGATTCAGTGGAGGCATTCTGCCCAGTAAGTGTGCGCTGCACGGATACTGAGCTTTTATTCGTTATCTGCTGCTGCTCTTGGGATTCATCTGGGCCTATATACCTCATTGTGTACAATAGCTGGCCAGTCCCCTTTCCACCTATTATTGGGAGCACATCCCATAATAGTTAGGCTTCAATATAAACCTTATACCAAGTATTGTACCAGCTATAAAGTACCCAGGCTGCATCTTGGGAATGCTTCTCCTTCTCTATCCCAAGAAAAATGACAGAAAGGGCTAGAAGATAGATTGCACTCTCCCCAAATCAACGAAGCTGAAGAACCTCTGGGGTTTGGAAAAATCTTTGGACAAGACACCCTTGATAGCCCATCCATCAGTGGGTCTATCTTCTCCTTGCCATTGCAGCAACTGCTGTTCTCCTTCCCATCACTGCTGTCACTTGCTTGCTGGGCAGGCAGAGAGCCCATGTTCCAGGATGCCAGAGCATTGCCTGCTCATCCTCCTCACCACCTGCACTCTCTGGGCCAGAGCAAGAGGCAGATGAACAAGCAGGCTGCAGTGATGACAGGCAGTGGCAAGTTCGAGGGCCTCCTGTCAGTGGGATCCTGCTGCAGCAGCAGGTCAGCTGGTGCCTGACCACATTCACCCTTAATACTAGTCCGGACAAAATTGATACAGTTGCCTGAACTAGATGATAATATAGAAGAAAACCAGTCAAAGTCAACAGGACTTGGGGCGCAGATGCTCCCTTCAAGCCTTTCCAAGATCAGTGGAAAAGAAGTGGGGGAGCTGACAGGACTTTTGTATCAGCATCCCTTAACTGTACAGCAAAATGACTATGGAACACCTATGAAAGCAGATGCGACATCGTCATGAATAGCACATGAACTTATTATGTTCCATGCTATCACAATGAATACCAAATGAACTTTCAATGATAGAACACTTAAAATAAAGCATTACTCTATAAAAATGTATGGCTGAGAGACAGACAAAAGGAGCTCCACATTTCACAGTCACGCAACATAATGGTCAACAGAAACATTTTCAACCTTTTAGACTTCCCTGCTCAAAACTGTGTACAAGGCAGGCTGGAAAAGCATGTGTTGCTTGCATAAGTGAGTAGCAAAAGATGCTAATTTCACATTTGCCCTGCTACAGAATTCCTATGTGACCTCAGGCATGTTGCTTAGGCTATGGCTTTAAGGAGACCCTAATTAGCACCTAAAAGAAATAGGATAAATATAAACAGCAGAAAGAAAATGGTAACCATTGCTACTATAACCCCCCAATGTCACTGCTTGCCTCCAAGAAGGGCTCAGAATTCTCACTAATCACATCTTAGCTTATATTGCAAGTATATGAACCAGGATTTCTGTTCCCCATCTGTAAAATGGAAACAAACTGAATCCCATAATTATGAGCCACTTGTGTTTTTTAAAACTTTTATGTAAGCCTTGATTGTTTACGCCAAAAGATCATCCAACCAGGTCAGATATGTGTGTACAATTATACCTGCTTCACCCAAGGTGTTATGTTCTTCTTAAGCCTCAGTTCCCTGCTTTGTGCTTCCGTCACACCCAGGCATTTTCCAATCTGCTTATCTGAGAAGCCGATCTCTTTGGCTCTCCTCAGGCTCTCCTCTGGAATAGACTCACTGAACAGATGAACATAAAAAACAGTGTATTATGGGCACATTGTGCTTTATATGCTTCTCAAAGATTGTATAGACCTAGGGAGGAAATCATGCATGGGAAATACTCAGGGCTAGAGTGCAAATGTGGGCATGGAAAACCCAAGTCCAAATCCCACACCATCCCATTGGATGCCAATAAGAAGAAAAGGGCTGGAAGACCAATCCTGACCCTCATAAATCACAGTGAGATTAAAATGTTGCTATATGTTCTTTGGAGGAGATAAATGATACAGTATAAAAATAAAGCAATTGGCTGACAGCACACTTACCTGGAATGTAAACATTTGCCTCTGAAGTCAAATTTGGCAGGCATCCCTAAATTTTTCCACCACTTCTTCTCACAATTAAGCATATATAGGATTGATTAGACTGTAATGTCATGCTCCCCATATCCAGAAATTCAAAGGTTATATTTACCAGCCATTTTACTCTCTGGATATATATTTCTATTATGTATTAAGAACATAAACAATGCACAAAAAACTGCATCAAACATCACAATATGCTACAAAAATCCAAATTGTATATGTAAAACAAGAGCTCCTGACATCTTTAAGTATTCATAATGTTGACCCAACTATTCCCTCTGAGTTGATTGCATCTATTCCATCACTAAAACAAAACACAAAACCTATAAGCTTAGTATTTTGCACCCACTTCTTTTTTCATCCCTAATATGTATGCCCCTTCTGACATGCAGTTTCTCTCTGGTTTACTGGCCTGGTTTGCACAACATGGCTGGCTCACTGTGGGTTATTTAATTGCTTGCACAACCCTTGAACAGGATGATAAGGCATTGTACTTTATCATTGAAACCCAGTCAAGGATTGCACTATTGTTCCTTCACCCCTACTACAACTGTGCAATCAAAAAGGCCAAGGCAACTGCTACAGCTCACTATGCTTAACCTGCACTGAGCCAGCCATGTCTTGCAAATTCAGTAGTATGCTAGCTAAGGATTTTAGTATGAAAGTGTGAAAAACAGTATGAGCTACTTTAGTGTTAATGGGTTTAAGTTCTTAACTCTGCCAAAATGATTTGCTTGAGTCCAGATGGATGGTGCCTGCATTTCTTCCATCCTTCCCATTCAAAGCCAAGAGATTTTATTTAGTGAACTTTCTGTTTTTGCTCATTATAGAGATGAGATGCTTAAGGCCAGGAAAAATATGCATACTACCCCATAACTGAAGAAAGGCATCCCTTACTGATCACAGCCTTAGGCTGCTACCAATTTGTAAACCAATGACTGGGACCACCACTCTCTGTGGCTACTTCCTAATTCATGCACCTTCAGTCAATACTTAGAAGGTTTCACATACACAATTCACATTGTCCTGTCAATCTAAATTTTGGTCTTTCTTCTCACCACCTTGCTCTTTTGACATCCTTGGCTTTCTTCTGCTGAAGTAAGTGCTTCTTCCTGGTTTGCTTTATGCATTTTTAATTTCCTCAGTTCCTATTTCTCCTTCTGTAATTGCTGCACATGGATTCTTCTGTTTCCTCTGTCATCAGCCCGATCAGCATCCTGCCTCTCTCTCTGGTGCAACCCAATCTTTCTCTGGAGTTGCACTTAGTCAAACTATGAAGAGCCTGGGTGTGTTTTCAGCTGCTCCACTTCTTATCCTCATAGTCAAGGGGGTTCCTCAGAGCATTGGACATTACAAAGGTGCCAGGCCCTGACGGGTTATACCCAAGAGTACTTAGAGAGTTGGCAGGGGTTCTCTCATACCCACTGGCCTCCATTTTTGAGGCCTCATGGAGAACGGGTGAAGTTCCAGAGGATTGGAGGGTGGTATCAGTGGTCCCAATTTTCAAAAAGGGTAGTAGAAGGGACATGGGGAATTATAGACCAGTTAGCCTTACATCCGTTGTAGGAAAAACAATGGAAAGGCTCATAATCGAGAGAGATCTAGTGATGCTAGATAGGGAAGGGAGGCTGACAGCCACACAACACGGCTTCTGCAAAAACAGGTCCTGCCAGGCAAACTTTGTGGAATTCTATGACAAGGTCTCAAGATGACTAGATGGAGGGGATGCTGTGGATGTGGTATACCTGGATTTCAGCAAGGCCTTTGACAAAGTGCCCCATGATATCCTGGTGGAGAAACTGAGGAGTTTTGGGATACACCAAAGCACTGTCCGGTGGATTAGGGCATGCTTGACTGACAAAAAGCAGAAGGTAACCATTAGTGGGGAATCATCGGGATGGCGGCCAGTGACAAGCGGGGTCCCCAGGGCTCTGTCCTGGGACCGATCCTGTTTCATCTTTTCATTAGATCTTCCATCTAATGACATGGAAGAAGGGGTGAACAGTCTACTGATCAAATTCGCAGACAACACTAAAACTGGAGCAGTGGCCACAACTGAGGAGCAGGTATTCCAGGTCCAAAAGGATCTGGACAGACTATGGAAGTGGGCAGGAGACAACAGGATGGCGTTCAATGTGGATAAGTGCAAGGTCTTGCACTTGGGGCATAGGAATAGCTGTCATAAGTACATGTTAGGTGACAAGTGGCTGGACAGCAGCACTTGTGAAAGGGACCTCAGGGTACTGGCTGACTACAGGCTAAACATGAGTGAGCAGTGTGATGCGGTGGTCAAGAGGGTGAACGCCACCCTTGGTTGCATAGCCAGAAGTGTGGCTTCTAGATCGAGAAAGGTATTACTACCGCTCTGTATGACTCTGGTGCGCCCGCAACTGGAGTATTGTGCTCAGTTTTGGGCCCCTCGTTACAGGAAGGATATAGCCAGGTTAGAGTCAGTGCAGCCTAGGGCCACAAGGTTGGTGGCCGGTTTGCAGGGGATGGGGTATGAGGCGAGACTGAGGGAACTGGGTCTCTTCAGCCTGGAGAAGAGGAGACTCAGAGGGGATGTCACACGGAGATGGGTAGAGACCTGTTCTCCCCTGCAGAGGAAGGCAGGACGCGCTCCAACGGAGCAAAGCTCAGGGAGCCAAGGTTCCATTTGGATGCCAGGAAGCACTTCCAGATGGTTAGGACCCCGAGGGTGTGGAATGGGCTTCCACGGGAGGTCGTTGAGGCCCCATCGGTGCGGGTGTTCAAGGATAGGCTGGACGTGCACATGGTGGGCATGTCGTGAGCGGAGCCGGCTGGTGCCGGAGGTCAGACTAGATGGCCTGGGAGGCCCCTTCTGACTCGCTCTGTTTCTGTTTCTATTCTTGTTTAGCTTGTCTAATACAACAATATTTTAAATGCAAGCAAGCACTGACTCAGAAAAAGAGAAAATGATTCTCAAATAATACTATTTTTTTGCTAAAGCAGAACCTCTGCATTATGGTATGAGCATGGTGTAAGCCCTACTAGATCACCAAGTGGTCCAGTATTCACAGACACTGACTAAATTCATCCAGGAAGCCCACAAGCTCAGTCCCCCTCTTCTCCTCCCTGCAGCCCTCTGTGTCTTGGCTTCCCAGCTCTCTGGGGCAGATTTTCAGGTTGCGAGGGCTCTGGGAGGAGGGCGAAGGAACAATCGCCCCTCCCTGTTCCACTATGGAACTGCTTCCATCAGTAAAACACCACAAGTAGATTCAATTCAAGCCCTGTGTATGTATTCCCCAGTTCAAATGTCGACAGAAGTGGGAAAGGGGATGAGGGTACACATGCAAACCCGATGCCCATATCCCTGGGCAACAGACTAATCTTCCCTGACCAGTGGAATTGCTTATAGACACCTTGTCAGGCCTTCACCCTCAATATGCTTAACTGCCAGTTGGGGAAGCAAGGGCAACAATCCATTTTTATTCTACATGTGATCAGGCAAGCATCTGCATACGATTCCAGTGTCTGAATCAACCTTGATCTTAGAAGATGGCAAGGACCAGATTCAACTAGTACTTGCACTTAGTGACTATCCTGGAAAGCTATATATAGCAGGTTCAAAGAGCCAACTTGGCCTTTGACAAATCATTCTCTTAGAGACAGCCTGTGATTATAAGAAAGAGGTCACTCAGTGGAAGGCTGTACTACTTTGGCCTAATGTTGGGGCAAATGCTTCAAGTGTAATAAAACTGTCTACATGCAATAAACTAGCACAACAAAGAGAACACTTTAGCAGAGGCACATCTGGTGTCTCATTCAAACCAAAGTATGAAAGTGTTATCATGGGTTGCTGGGAATGACTAGAGAGCTGCCTGTCCAGAGCAGCCACTCCTCACTATCTTGCTTGTACTGCCACCCTCCTCCTTCATCCCTTCTTGGGGTCTTCTGCCCCGTGCCACTGAAAATGGCAAATACTGATATGTGATAGAGAATAGAAAAGCAGGAACGGGGGCAGTGAAGTTTACAGGCAACCAGAGGAATGCTTTTTGCTGGCAACTGTTCTTACTTCAGTGTAAATTGAAGCAGACATTTAAAAGGCAAGCTCCAGAATGGAGGATGAAACTGGCTAGGACATTGACAGAAAGGGATAATAGTGTGCTGGGCTGAATTATTGGAGAATTGTGTTGGCTGATGTGCAACTACAGAATTCCTTGGAGGAAAAAAAGCTGACAAACTATTTCTGTGATACTAAGGGCTCTGAAAATTTAGCATTCTGATGTGGGAGAAAGGAGTTTTCCACTGTAGCTGGCAAAAGGAACAGACCAACTGCAGAAAGGGCACTGAAGTAGAGGCTGAGGCAACAAGGAGTGCTGTCACAAAGGTGACTGGTATCTGTGCCAGTGCTGGTGGGAGAGAATGAGTGAAGGGCAAAGAAGCCACAATAAGCATGAAAGTCTGTTAGGAGTACCATGATTGCTCTGCGAACATTCAATCTATGGTAGTTTAGTAGCAGGCTGGTTCAGCAGGATGTGTGAGTTTGTCCAATGATTCAATTATTCCAGGAAGAATTACACTGTCAGGCAGCTTTCTAGGTGAAGAAAGCATTTAAAAATATATTTTAATGGCTTATTTTTTGTAACCCATTAAGAGACTTTTAGTATTGGACGGCATATCAAAACTTTA